TCCCTCATTTAAAGTGTACAGTTCAATTATTTTTATTTTATTTTACTTTTTAGTGTATTCACAGGCACGTGTAACCACCATCATCACTTCTGAACCATTTTCGTGAAATTCTTTACACTTTAGGTATCCATACCCTCCCACCCACGCTCTCGGCTCTGAGCAACTGCTAATCTGCTCTCTATCTCCACAGATTTGCCTGTTGTGGGCATTTTATATAAATGGAATCATACCCTGTGTAATCTTTTATGACCGGCCCTTCTCTTAGCCTAAAGTGCATACGGTTCCTCCATGTCGTGTATGTATCAGTACTTTATTTTTTTATTATTTTTTTTAATATATCTTTATTGATTTCAGAGAGAGGAAGGGAGAGGGAGAGAGAGAGATAGAAACGTCAATGATGAGAGAGTCATTGATCGAGCCCGCAACCCGGGCATGTGCCCTGACCGGGAATCAAACCCCGATCACCTGGATCCCAGGTCGATGCTCAACCGTTGAGCCACGCCCGGCCGGGCTGTATCAGCACTTTAAAAAATTTTTTTTTTATTGTGCTAAAACATACATAATATAAATTTTGCCATTTTAACTATTCTTGAGTGTATAATTCAGTGGCATTGGTTACATTCAAAATGTGCAAACGTCATATTTCCAAAACTTTTTCATCACCCCAGACAGAAACCCTGTACCCATTAAATGATAATTCCTCATTCCGCCCCCTTCCCAGGACCTGGTAACCTCTAGCCAATTAGTGTCTCTGTAAACTCACTTATTCTAGACATTTCATATCACAGGATCATACAGTACTGATCTCTTTTGTCATCTTAATTCACTCAGCATAACGTTTTCCAGGATCATCCATAGTGTAGCTGCATCAGAACCTCGCCCCTTTTAGGGCTGGATAATATTCCATTTTGTGTAAATACCACACTTTGTTATTCACTCATCTGTCGATGGACACTTGGTTTATCGCTGCCTTTTAGCTATCGTGAGCAATGCTGCAGTGAGCACTGGCATGCAAGTATCTGTTTGCGCCCCTGTTTTCAGTTCTTTGGGGTGTGTACCCAGGAGTAGAATTGCTGCGTCATCCTACGTTGACCTTCTAGAGGGATCATCAAACTTTCCCACAGCAGCTACACCACTTTACATTCCCACTAAGTGCACAAGGGTCCCAATTTCTCTACACCGTCAGCAACGTTTGTTATGTGCTGCCTTTTTTATTATAACCATCCTCGAAGGTGTGAGGGGGTATCTCACCACGGTTCAATTTGCATTTCCCTGATGACTAATTGTGCTGAGCATCTTTTCATGTGCTTATTGACCATTTGTATCTCTTCCTTGAGGAAATGTCTAGTCAAGTTCTCTACACACTTTTAATTGGGTGTTTATCTTTTAGTTGTTGAGCTGTAGACGTTCCTTATATATTCTAGATGTTAAACCCTCACCATATATATGATTTGCAAATATTTTCTCCCATTTGGTAGGTTGTCTTTTCGCTTTCCTGATAATGTCCTTCGATAAACAAATGTCTTTCATTTGTATTGAAATTGATCCATTTTTACTCATGTTGCTCATGCTTTGGTGTCAGCTTATTTTACATTTTACAAAGGTCCCTCTAGTTTCTGTGTGGAGGACAGATGAGTGGGGCCCAAGTGGCTGCAGGAAGGCCATCAAAGGTATTTTTTTAGCTGTCGGGTGAGGGTGGGGAAAGTGGGAGGAGAGAGAAATGGAAGGTTAGAGAGAGATTAGGGCAGGAGTTGATTTAGAGGCTCTGGGGAAGTTCAGGGAGAACTTGCAGGTTTCCAGCTGGGTGCTTGGTTGGATGGTCAGTGAACAGAGAGGGAAGCAGGACTGGGAGGGCAGATCAGGAGTTCCAATGCCTGGTCTGGCCCCCCTCTCCAGTTCACAGGTGGGGAAATTGAGGCCTAAATAAGTACAGTGGTTCACCCAGGGTCCCCCATCACATGCCCTAGGGAATGGGACTCTGGAAGTCCAGCCACCCAGCCAGAGCAGTTACTGTCCACGGGGTCACAGGCTCTGGCCTCAAAGAGCTATTTTTCAGCTGGAAGAGGGTGGGGTTTCAGGCCAGATGACTTTGTCCCAGGCTGGTGCCAGTTCACAGCCCCCAGAGAACAGAGCAGCTCTGTTTTACGAGGGCTGCCTGTACCCTGACCCCAACCAGCTGTCCTGTCTGGGTCTGATGTGGGTAACTTGAGGGTATAAGGGTGTGGGGCGCCCACCTTAGAATGCTGACGCGATGGAGGCTCACCCACACTCCTGGGCTGGCGTCAGTCAAAGCCAGGCTCAGATTCTGAGGTTTCCCCTCCTCTATCCCTTCCCTGGCCATGCAACCTTAGGCAAGTCTCCTCCCCTCTCCAAGTCTCAGCCTTTCCATCTGTAAAATGGGGACATCCTAGAGTATGACTTTTGTGCCCCTCAAAGTTGTAGTAAATGTGGGACGAGGAAATGGATGGGCAGAAAAATACTCTGAAAACTGTAAAGTGCCTACCTGGGCCCAGTCCCACTTGTGCCCCATGCCACTGCCCAGGGGACTTCTAAGGCTTTGCTCCTTCACAAGACACCAGCCCTCTGGAGAAGAAAAAGGCCTGGTTTGGAGCTCAGGGCTCCAGAGCTCTTATTATCCTGGCCCAGCAGGCTTGACCAACCCACTGGACAGATGGGGGAAACTGAGGGGCAGCCATCTGCTCAGAGTCACCAGGCTCTTAAACCTGGATTCAAAAGCAGGGCTCTCTGAGTCCAAAGATGAAAAAGATCCTTATCCATCCAATATCCCCATTGGATAGACAGGGTAAACTGAGAGCCAGGGAGGGGAAGCAACGCGCCTGGGGTAACACAGGCAGTCAGGGCAGAAGTGGCACATGAGGTCCCGAATCCCAGGCCATGCTCCTTCTACCACCCCTTGCCCTAAAGGCCCACCCTCTAGGAAGCAGGGGCTGGCTTAAACCAACCCCTAGAGCTTAAAAAGGGGCTCCTATCACAGTGGGATATTCATAGTCACTGGCAGACTTGGGGTTCCTTGTCAGCTATCTTCCTCCCACCAGAACAGGCTGCACACTTTCTCAAATATTCCAGAGAGAGAGATTTGAGAGAGAGAGAGAGAGAGAGGAAAGGAGAGAGAGAGACATCAATTTGTTGTTCCACTTATTGATGCATCCATTGGCTGATTCTTGTATGTGCCCTGACCAGAGAGTGAACCTGCCACCTTGGTGTATCGGGACAATGCTCCTACCAACTGAACGACCTGTCCAGGCTCAGAGCGGCCTTTTAGGGGCTGAGGCTTCACTGACGCAGAGCATTGTTGTCACTAGTAGGGAATCTTGGGGGGAGACCACCCATGTACCCACCATGGGCAAGTTAGGGCAAAAGTCAATACATCAGGTCTCTTTGGCCTTCAAGAGACAACTGGGTTCCAGAAAACTAATTAGGAAATCTATACGATTCAAAGAGTGAAAAGCCCCTAGGGAAATTATTGGCGGCCTTGGAAATTTGTTCCTTGATTTGTCAGGTAATGGAAACAGGGGCTGGCCGTGCTGACACCCAATTATAATACTAGATACCATTTAATGAGCACTTTCTATGTTCTAGGTACCTCTCTAAGGGCTTTCTACCTATTAACTCCTTTAATACTTACAGCAAGCCTCAGCAGTCTGATTATTCTCATTTTCTGGTGAGGGAAGCAAGGCACAGAGAGGTAGCATAACTTGGCCAAGGATTCACAGCTTGTGAGTGGTGGGGCCTGAGCAGGAACTTGGTTCATCCAACTCCAGAGCCGTGTGACTGACCATGGGACCACACTGCCACATGTGCTACAAGAGACTGGATGTTAGTGCTCTCCAAAGGACCAAGCCCAGCTCAGCCAAAGCCCCTGGGTACAGGGCAGTGACCAGGCATAGCAGGACTGCTGAGGGGACAAAGCCTGTGGCCACTGCAGACCCAGCAACCAGCCCAGGCTTGTCCAAGAATGAGTTAAAAGCATCCGTTGTATCGAGTCCCAGCTCTGCCACTCGCTGCTTATCACTGGGCCAGGCCCCACCACCTCTCTCTGAGTCTCAGTTCCCTCCTTATTAAAATGGGGTGAGATTAGTACTGGCTTCATAGGGTCATTTTGAACAATTCGACGAGCCCCGTAAAGCTCTTAAAGGGCTTAGGGGCACACTAGGCACAAAGAAAATGCAGATAAATGTTAGCTATTAGTGTTAGTTATTATTCATTATTATATTTCATTTCTGCACCTTTCCCCCAGGGACTCCTGTAAGTAGACAAGTTGTTTTTTTTGAGACAGAGGGACTCACAAGATGGCTTTGGGGACCCCTCCCTCCCAAGGATTCTTGGATCACCCATCCCCCTCCTCAGCCCCCCTCAGCCCTCACAGTAGCTATAGTCTCTCTGAAGTCAGTTTCCACCCTTGCACCCCAGGTACCCTGGCTCCCTGCCTGTGGTCCCCATTTGCTGGATGCTGTTGCTATGGCAACAGCATTTTCAGAGCCTTCGGCCCCCCTCTGAGGTGACAGGCCTAGATGGAGATGGGCTGATCAGCTGTCTCCTGCAATCTCAGGCCTGTCTGGATGGAAAGCAGGAGAGTGGAGTGTAAGAAGGAGAGCTGGCTTGGGGTGGGGGCTCGCTGAGCCCTCAGCCCCCAGTGTGTGCAGACAGCGACGCACACTGCGCCGTGTCACACGGCAGACACCTGAGCAGTTGGCTACAAATGCAGATTCCAGCCACCGATGGCCCCAGGGGCTGATCTGGATGATCTGGAGTGGGACCCCTAGGAAGCTGCCTTAGGCCCAATCTGCTACTGGCTCTGAAGCAGACAAGCCCCAAACCACACTGGACGAAATCTTGTCTTGGAAGGTTCCTGAAGTCATTTTGGGCATTGAGGTGTGTGTGGCTCTCTGCTGAGACAACTCCCAAGAAACCCTGTGTGTCCTCCTGGGCCTGCTCCAGTCCTGCCTCCCTCTCCTTCCACAGCCTCATCTGTGGGAGGACGGTACCCCACCCTCTTCCCACAGCCAGGAAAATTCCAGGGCTGGGCTGCCAGAGGCCCGCTGGTAATGCGCCCTAGGGCAGAGGCTGGGTCCATGCTCTCCTGGGGCAATGACGTGCAGGGAGGGCGCTACAGGGCTTACTCTGGGCGGGGTGAAAGGCTCGCTGTCTGCCACTCTAACTTCAGAGGAGCAAAAGCCTCTGCCCATTGTCCCCTTTCTTTCTGCCAGCACCACCTGCTGAAGGAGACATGGCTCCCTACCCTTGTCCCAGCCCCTACCACCAGCAGAACCGGTGACTCTGGGCACCAGAGGCTGTGCTAAAGGCAGGTGAAGCCTGGGGGGGCAGCGTCCGAGGAGTCATGGTGGGGAGGGGAGAAGACAGAACATCAGGGGTTGAGGGTGCTCTCTGAAGTGCAAGGATAAGGCTGTGGGATCCTTGAATTTGGGATCTATGGTGGTTGGGGTTGCGGAGCCAGATGAGAGAGCAGAGACATAGAGGACATTCCCTCCCTCCACTCTCCTTCCCTTTGCCCTTCCCCCACACTAACCTCCAGCAGGTGACTGATTCTCTTTGCCAAGGCCAATGGCACAATGAACAGCATGCAGTAATTTGCTGGACAACACCCCCTTTATTCCTTTCCCAGTCTCACCTCCCGCTCCTCCCCCAGTGGTCCTGGGGATGAACAGCCAACTACACGTGCACCTGGATCCTAGCCTCAGGGTCTGTTTCAGTGGGACCCTAAGACCAGAAGCCACTCCCAAATCTCGCTCATGGTTCTGCACCAGGGCAGCGATGCCCTTTGTGTCCCAAGGGGAAGCTGTGTACCCCTGAACTCCGGCTGGGCGTGTGGCCTGCCTAAGGCTGAGACCTCTGGAAGGGTTTGCACTGGGGTGAGGGAGCCAACCCCACACTCTGTTGCACCCGGCCCTGACCTCCCGAGGGTCAGTCTTCCCAGAGTTCCCTGGTGCCGGTTCTTGGCCCCTTAGCGCAGGCCATGCTCACACTGAGCGCTCAGGAGCCACATCGTGATGGGTTCAGTCCCTCCGCAGCTGGTCCCAGCCCAGCACCCCTGGAGCTTGGTGCAGTAGTGGGGGCTCCCAGCTAGAGGGAGGCAGGGGGGCTTGTCTGAGGCGAGTCCTCCAGAGAGGTCCGTGAATCTGTCCCCTCGGAGGACGAGCTGCCCCCGGTGGGGTGGGGGATCTGCCTCTGCCTGGGGAGCCGCTGCCAGGAGAAGAGGGTAGTGAGAAAGCGCTCGGGGGCAGGATCAAGGGGCTCCTGAGGGCCCTTGCCTTCTTCAACCTCTATGGCCTGGCCTGCGTCCAGGGGCAGAGGGCCTGCCTGCAGATTTCTGTTCTGCCCCCATCTTGGGGCCCAAGGAGGCCAACGGGGTTTTGGTGAACGATCCAGGCCTAGGGAGTCTTGGAAGGGCAGTTCCTGCCTTCCCTTGGAGGCGACTTCTCCATTCACACCCTGGCCCTTGGCAGCTGTTCCTTGTAGTTCCAGGTGTGCCAAGTGGGCAGTGGGGCCCAGTGGGCACGGACACTGGGCCAATGCCTTCTTCAGGAGGGTCTGGATCTCCCCGTGTCTCACCTGGGCCTCCTCCCACAGGTCCTGGCCCAGGCCATCCTGGCTCAGGGAAGCCACCTGCAGCCCCATGGCTGTGAGCTTCTCAGCAGGGAACTCAGACGACAGTCGCTGCAGGTAGCGGTGGAGGCGCCGCTGGTCCCCACTGCTGGCCTTTTGATCCTTGCCCAGCCTGAGCTGGGTCATCAGGTCCTGACAGTCCATGTGGAACCAGGTCATCTGGGAGACAAGGGAGGGAGGTGGGGTCAGGCTAGGAGTGGGACCGCGGGGGTTCCGTGAGGACAGGATGGGCTCCTCTAAGCAGAAAGAGGACTCGAAGACTAAGCACTGCTGGATTAAATTAATAACATGCCCCCAAAATGCTAGGGCCCCCAGGTGGCCATGATTTTTTTTTTTTTTTTTTGGCCATGATTTTCTTTGCTGACAGTGATGACAGTGGTGTCCGTCTCTTCCCCAGGGTACATACACCGGCCACAGAGAACCAGTCCCCAGCACCCTGGGAACTTCAGGCAGTCAGTCTAACACACCCATGGGCCAGTAAGGACTTGTGCCTCCCTGGGGCTCAATTTCTCCTTCTGTAAAATGGGAGGTTGTACTAGGTGATCATAAAAAGCCTTCTGAGAGCTGAATATTCAGNGGTTGTACTAGGTGATCATAAAAAGCTTTCTGAGAGCTGAATATTCAGGCTCCTGGACTGCATTAACCCCTCCTGGGTGGTGCTGAGGGAGGAGTCTATCGTTTGTTGAGCACCGCCTGTCTGCCAGGCTCCGTGCATCTCCCGTCTGATCAAACTCAACTGTACCAACAACCCTTTTGACAGAGGAAGAAACAGGCTCAGAAACGTGAAATCACTTGCCCAGGTCACACTGCAAGTCAGAGAGGACCTGGGGTTTGAACTCAGAGAGTATCTTCCAAGTGTCTCCTTGCGCAGGAGAAACTGGTTCACGCAGGGCCAGGCCCTCGCTGTCATCAGCGAGACCATCAGCTAACCTGGCCCAGCAGCCCCCTCGCCCCAGCCCCTCTACCCCATTTTTGGACTCTTCCTGTCCTCACTTTACCCACAAAATATCTGCAGGCTGCAAAGGGGCCAACACCTTCCCAGCAGCTGTGAAAAACATAATCTTTCTCTCCATTAATTTAGAAGCCGACAGTGAGCTGTTAGGCTGTGGGGATTGCAGAACCATTTTCTCCGAGGAAACCATCTTTCCGTGGATTAAGGGAACTTGTCTTTAGATAAATGGCTTCATATTCGAGGAAGCACACGGAGCTCATGGCTGGGAAAGGGCTCCATAAATCTCCGTTAGCGGCACCACTGTGTTGTTATTATTTAGTGTTGAAGCTGCACGTGCCGTCCGCCCAGCTGGGACCAGCACTGGGCTGTCCTGGGTGTCTGTCTGTCTGTCTGTCCAGGGCTCCATCTTCCAGGCTGAGCTGGACAGAGATGGATAACACCTCAGAAACCATCTTGCCCAAACCCTTGTGAGGGTTGAAATTCAGGGCCAGAAAGGAGAGGGGGCTTGCCCAAGTCAAATAGCAAGAGGTGCCACGTGGGACTTCCGATCAGGGCTGGACCCCCCACAGGATTTCTAGTCCTGGGTCAGACTGCACATCCCCACACACAGTCACAGCCTTCCTTCCTCCAGCCACCCGGCCGGCCACCCATGGCGTTCACCGAGCCCCTCAGCCCTGGCCTCATGCCAGGCCCGGTGGACCGGACCGGCTGCTCCAAGGCAGCTCACCTCACAGGCGACAGACAAAAGACAAGCAGGTGACAAAGCAACAGGGTAATTTCAGATCACAAAGGGCCCCATGATAGGCACAGAGTGATGAGGGAGAACGGGGGCAGGAAGGGTCTCTGAGGAGGGGGCATGTGAGCTGAGCACTGAAGAAAGACAAGAAGCCAGTCCATCAAAGGGAGGAGTGTTCCCAGCTGAGGGAACAGCAAATACAAAGCCTCAGAGCGAGAGCAAGTTTGATTTCTCCAGGGAAGGGCAATGGGGCTGAAATTGGCTAAAATTGATGAGCAAGGGAGAAGCTTCCGATTCCCTTCACCCATGAGGCATTACTGTTACTAATGATAATAATATTGGTGTTAAAAATCATAATTCCAAATTTGAGCAAAGT